TTAATATTAATACATAAAATTTAATAAAATGATTATAGCCGGTCTCATACAGTATTTTCAATTACTGTACATATGAAAGAAAATACTACTGATGGAGAAGAAGTCCTGAAAACAGGAAAATTAAATCTGGTGGACCTAGCAGGTAGTGAAAATATTGGAAGGTCTGGCTCTGTTGACAAAAGAGCAAGAGAAGCTGGTAGTATTAATCAATCTTTGTTAACACTTGGTAGAGTTATAACAGCTCTTGTTGAAAGAACACCTCATATACCTTATCGGTAATAAAAAAAAAAAAAAAGATTATTTCTTTACAATAAGAAGACTAATATAGGTTGTATTTTTATATCTTATATTGCACAGAGAATCAAAACTCACAAGATTACTATAAGAATCATTAGGTGGACGAACAAAAACATTTATAATTGCAACTGTATCTGCTGCTAGTATTAACCTTGAAGAAACATTATCAACATTAGATTATGCACATCGTGCAAAAAATATTACTAATCGCCCCGAAATAAATCAGAAACTTTCGAAAAAAGAATTTCTTAAACAGTATACAGAGGAAATTGAAAGATTACGAAGAGACTTATTGGCAACGCGTGAAAGAAACGGTGTTTTTCTTGCAAATGACGGTTATTAAGATATGCAAGCATTCATTTCTCAACAGACTAAAGAACTAGAAAAGAAACTTAATCATATAAAAGCACTTGAAAAAACTATGCAGGACAAAGAAGTAATTTACTTCTTAATTCCAATTTTATTAATTATTTGTTATTGTACCTACATTTGGTTTTGTTCTGTAACTTTTTCTCTTTTTAGAAAATATATAATGAACTTGAATTACAAAATATAGCTCAAATGAAAGAATTACATGAAGCCAAAGACAAATTAAATAGTGCTTCTGACGCTTTTAAATCGACAAATAATCAATTAAAAGTGATAGCACGAGAACGGAATGAGCAAAAATATTACATAAATACAGAACAGTCTTTATTGCACCAAGCCCAAATACTACTAAGCGTCGCAGACACAGCAACAGCAGATTCACATATATTACATGATAAAAGGTTTGTCGATTACATTTATATCTTTCTGATTATATAAATATTAATTTTACATTTTTAAACTATAAGGACATTATTTTTCAAAGACAAAAGTCTACGTTATTATGCGCGTTTCATAAATATGGTAAAATGAAACTTATTTTTTTAGTGATGTTCGGTTGTAAAAACCTAAATCTGTTCAAGGCGAAGGTTTAGGCGACACGGCTCGCAAATTTACAATTATTTAGGAAACCCTCTCATCTGGCCACCAGAAGCGGCAGCCTGCCGACCGACCAGATGAACCAGGACTCGACCCTACAATACAACAAATATTTAACAACAATAGCCCCACCCTCTCGACACGACAGTCACCCCCGGAATACTCACAAAATCCAATCAACACTCCTCAACCACCTCCACTACACATTTAAACAGCGAATAGAAGCAGACAGCAAGTTGATAAAATAGCAGGCACAGACACTTCGATTTTATTACAAGCACCAACAGTCACTTACACATTAGCATACACATTCGACACAGCACTATTATTGTAACATATCTGGTTAACTATTTTAAATACAAGTATATCGTTGTTCAACATTGTGTGATTACTCAAAATTCAATACAGTCCACTACGTATCCATCGCATCCTTCGAAAGACTTCACTGAAGATTGCAAAATTAACAGTTCGAAGTCCGCGTCATCAAACCGTCGCAAATTCTAACGTCGACGCTGTGACGCGACCAAACAAGTGAAACAGAGCAATCATTTGAAATGCTAGGTGAACAGTTTAAAAATAATGTTTCCGAATGTTTACAAGAAATTCAAAAAGACATTTTAATGCATAAAGAAAAATTAAAGCAATTATGTATATCTGTGAAAAATGACCTTGGTAACAAAAGCTTTATTATGCCATAAACATTCTTATAAACATTTTATTTACTGATTTTTATTATCATTGTTCTCGTCAGGTGCGCAAACTTCAGATAAATGTAAAAATATTGGCACGACAATATATCAAATTTCGACAAATCTTCTTAATCAACATTTGTCCGATACTAATAATTT